GTACAATGAACCCAGAACACTGTGTCACGGCAGACCCAAGGCCTGGGGATCATGTCCCGACATGACCCAGAAGACAACCTGAGGACGCTGCCCTGGCCAAAGACCGCAATGAAATGACAACCACAGCAGACTGGAGCCTGAAGATCACATTCCACAAGTTCCTGTCAGCGGGAACCACCGGTGCTACATGTGACTGTCCCACTGAGCAGCTTCAACCTGGATGGTACAAACGGATCTAATTCTCTTTTATCAGTCACTCTCCTAATAAAATTAACAAAAAGCCTATAAATAGACCAAATCTGAATAATTACTGTCCAAATATAAATACTATTCATACCAACTGTAACAATTACAATAAGCAACACATTTATTTCACTGAAAGAACTTTACTTACATTTGTTTTTTGTTTTTTGTTTTTTTTTTTTTTTGGTTTTTCTCCGGTACCGGGAACCGAACTCATGACCTTGCGCTTGCCAGGCAGGCGCTTTTGCCGCTGAGCTAAATCCCCAGCCCCTTTACTTACATTTGTGACTAGTTTAACAATAACTAATGCTCTTACATGGAAGTCTTACCAGTACCCTGTCACTGGTGTATATACCTTCCATTTACAAGTAAATGCACTTGCTGCTGTACTAAAGTTATCTGTATCATGACATTTCCTGAAGGAGCTGTGATACCATGATGTCCAGGCTCTAAGTCAGCACCTTTCTATGTTACTATAACCAAGGCCCCTGAGAAGTGACGTGCAGCGCTCGATGCAACATCATATGGATACCAGTGGTTCAAGCTGGCGGGAAGGATCGAATCCAAGAGCTGCCCAGCAGTAAGACACACAAATTACAGCCCATGATAAATATGTTAAGTCCATGAGGATTTAATGATTAAAAAAGAAAGTCAGTGGTCACCCCTTGAGGGTGACAGGGAGTCAACTCAAGCTTTTTTGGTTTTTGGTACTGGAAATCAAACTCAGGACCTTGCGCTTGCCAGGCAGACGCTGTTGAGCTATATCCCCAGCCCCAGGAAGTCAACTCTTGAACCAGAAAGGTAAAGGAAGCCCTCAGCATTTATCCTGCCTTCCCCACAACTACATACCTAGGCAGTCAAACAACAGCCAAGGACAAAGTTTACTGTAAAATTACCCCAGCTAACAAATAAAAACACAAGGATGCACTTCGAAAGTACAAGGCGCTCGGTTCACACCAAAGCACCAAATGAATAAAGTCGTAAGACTGAAAACCACAGCTCCCACAGACCAGTGGCTCCAGGGCCTGAGCATCACAGCGTGCACAGAGCAGGCCCTGGCCTCCTGGGAAAGGGCCCAGCCACACCACGGTCTTCTTGTAGTCAGAGGGGTCTTGCTGCCTGCAAGCAGAAGCTCAGAGGACAGGGTCCCTGCTGAGCTGACCGCCAGGGTGCAGCTAGCGCCCCACTGAGCAGACAGAGTAGGCCAAGTGACAGCTGCATACAGTCGAGGAAAGCAAGCCAGGGCTGAGAGTGGAACATGGATTCAAACAGACTTTAAAAAACTAAGAACTGGCACAGCAGACCACAGTGTATGCGAGCTTCTGGGCTGCATGACTGGGACCGTCCGTCCTTGTGATTCTCTCCAGCTTCACGGCAGGCATGGCAGCAGCTACTCACAAGGACCAGAAAGAGCTGCTAAGGCTCGGGACTTAGGGCTTCTCTGGCGCTGGCCAAGTCCTACTGCTTGACTGTGCTGAGCGACAAAGGCTCTCCACCGAGGGCCATTCGAGAGGGCACGAAAGTAACCCAGCAAAGACGCTCACCCATGTTTCCAGCCACTCAGCACTTTAAGCGGACCATCACTTGGGCAGCGCGTTTGCTTACATGCTGACTGTCCCAAGCGCCACTCGGGCAGCATCACTTCAACCAGTCAATTCTTAATTGAGTATATTTGATAAAACTCGTTTCTATATTTCCTGATACATATATATATATATGTATATATATATATATTTTTGGGGGGGGGGGTGGTACCAGGGATCGAACTCACAACCTTGCACTTGCCAGGCAGGCACTTATGCCATTGAGCTATATTTCCTGTTATATTATCTTAAAAAAACTAATGAAAAAATACGCAACTTTGGTCATCCTGTCCTTAAATAATTAGACTGATACGTGGTTAACTCCTCGTCAAGGTACAAGAAATCAACTACCCTTCTAAATGTGTATCACACTGCTCATCTGATGTCTTCCTGGAGTCTTAAACTAAACTTCTGGGGTGGACACTGCAGGCACACCCAGGCAGAGCAGGCTCTGGCTGAGAAGCCATGCCAAACAGGACCAGCTCTACGCTGGCCAAGCTCCCAGAATCTGTATTTTCTTCTTATTTCTGACCCACACAGGACTCTCACTATGGTGAGTCCCTGACTTACAAACTTTCACAGATCTGAAATGACTTCTCATTACGAATACTTGCAGATGAGTAGCCCACGTGTCTGCCGGACACTGTCATAGTTGTACAGTACAGTGGGGGACCTACCATGTTTCTGTGTGTGTGTGTGTGTGTGTGTGTGTGGTTGTTTTACACTTCACATTGTACATCTGTGTCAAGTGTGACAAAGACTCACTTTGTCAGACCCACGAACACTCTCCAGAACGGAACTCGTTCGTAAGTCAGGGACTTACTTTAGGCTTACTGGCCTGCAGCTCGGACACATTTACACAAAGATGCCTACCTGGGTGGTCTTCTGCCTTATACACAGCATTTTTATCCACCTGTACTGAGAGAGACCTCCCTTACACTCTGCACTGCCCACTCCCGAAAGCCCAGCCTCCATGCCAAAGGAGCACTGCTCAGGGGGTAATGCTGGCACTTGGGGAAACGCAGCACTGAGGTTTCAATACATCCTGGGTCCCAAACACTTCCAACAGCCTCTAGGGGGACAGCACTGTCCTGCCGAGGTCACCGACCTGAGCCCATCCCAGAGTCCACTCACACCAGTGAGCAAGGCACGACTGCCCAGAGTGCAGCAAACAGCAGGTGCTCTCGGGCTGAGGACAGAACAGCACTACCAGAGGCCAGGCCGAGTGCGAGCGAAGAGGCCGAGTGCAAGCGAAGAGGCCTCGCGCCAGGAGCTCAGCCTGCCCAACACACAACCCAGGCATCAAAAAAAACCTCTCCTTACGAGCAAAGGATCACACCCTCCAGTGAGACGCACAGCACAGCCTACCCAGGATCAGACAGGAAGAGCTTTCAGAGTAAGTCCAACGAGGATAGAGGGGCTTGAGAAATACCGTGACCTCCCCGTAGATCCTTCCAACCAACATGAAAAAGAAAGCCCAAGCAGGACCACCAGCACTCACTGAACTGACTGCTGTAACAAGAATCAATATTCCGCGACCGGGGACACAGCTCAGTGGCACAGTGCCTGCCTAGCAAGCACAAGGTCCTGAGTTTGATTCCCAGCACCAAAAAGAATCAATATTATCCAAAAACAATGTAACCCACAGTCAAGGGGGGCTGACGCAGTCCAGAGAAATTGAATCTGAGGTGGCAGGGGTTATGGACTTGAAGCAAACTTCGGCAGCTTTAATAAACGTTCAAAAGAGTATGGGAAACATGGTCTCAATAAATAGGCAGGCAGAGAACCTCAGCTATTTACAAACTAAAAAAAAAACAGAAACCCTAGAATTGGAAAATACACCAACAAATACAAACTTTAGTAGAGTTTAACAGACAACTGGAGATGGCAGAACTCCACCTGGTCAAGGAACTGGAAGACAGAACAGGGAAAACCCTCCAGTCTCAAGAATGGAGAGAAACAACAACGAAGGAAGGGAATGCAAGTTCAAAGACCTCCACAGCAACACCTGCGCGTCTTAACAGTGGTAGGAGCTAGAGGCCTAGCACAAAGACTGGACAGAAAAAGTACAGTATTTGAGAAACAATGGGCAGAATGTCCCAAATGTGATACAAACCACAGACGTACAGGTCTGACAGGCTCAAAACCTGCAGCAGGCCGATACCCAGAGAAACACACTCAAACACAGAACAAACTTCAAGAGTAAAGGTTCACAGTCTCAACAATCGAGGGAGGCACAGTAGGCCCAGAGAACGAGGATGAAAATTACAGCGGGATCCGAGGATAAGGGATAACACGCTGAAAATCCTACAGGAAACACATCAGCCAACCTGGAATTTTATAGCCAATAATAATATCCCTCAAAACGAAGGGTGAAATACAAGGATTTTCAAGTAAACAAGTAGAGGAATTCAACTGCCAGCAGACCTGTGTTACAGGAAAGGCACGAGGGTGTCTTTCAAGTTAAAGGGAAGCCGTGGCAGACAGGAAGGGGGGTCTGCAGAAAGGCACAAGCACTCCAGAGATGGCAAGGAAGTATGTAAGTATGAAAAACTATGTTTTCTTTCTTCTAAAATGTTACTTTTAAGTAAGTAATTAACAGCTTAAAACAAAAATAATGCAACCAAGTTGCCTGGTGGTGCACATCTGTCATTCCAGCATTCAGGAGGCTAAGGCAGGAGGACTGCTATGAGTTTGAGGCCAGCCTGAGCTATACAGTGAGACCCTATCTCAAAAACCAATAATAATAACAACAATAAAAACACATTAGGACTAGGTTTAACTACAAGTGTAAAAGACATGACAACAAAAAGACTAGCAGCTTATAAAACCTGGTCACAGGAAATGGCTCCTTTCCCTCTTGCCTGTTCTCCGGAAGTGATTCTCCCACTGTCACTTGTGAGGCAGGAGTGAGACAGAGGCCCCATATTCTTTTCCAGGTCAGTCTGACCTCAGCATAGCCAGTTATGGTGGTCACACACCCCATGCAAAGAGCTTCCGCTCAAGCAATGCCCACAAGTAACTCAATGCAAGTGTCCCACTTCAAACACGGACAGACACTCCACGGAAGGCAAGACCAGGCGGAGGGTGGCGCGCGCTCAAGGGTCTGCCTACTGCGGGAGGCCATGAGGCGCTCCCGCGCCCCTTCCAGACCCCGCCCCGCTGCTGCTGTACCTCTGCTCCGGATCCCGGCCCCGCACCGTCCACTTTCCTCTTTTTCCTGGGCCCGATCGCCGCCAGTGCCGTGAGGTTGGCGTCCCGCTGCCGCATCTGTGCCAGTTCCTGCTGCTGCATCTTTGTGTTAGAAAGGAAACAAGGACTATCGTTTCATGGACGTTTTTACTTACTGCAAAAGCAAATGCAGCTATCAAAGGGCTTTCTGAAATTTTCTAAACTGTAACTTCTTTAATGTTTTGGCGTTTTTTAACAGTGAGTATGTTCTGTAACCAGAAAAGTAAGAATGTTTAAAAGCAATCAATATTCATTTAAAAATGCTCAGGAAATAAAAACAAGTTTATGCACAAAGACTAAGTCCCAACCCCAAAGAAATCATTGCTAAATATAGAAACAGAATACAAACCATCTGGTCAGGAGAATACCTTCCACTTGGCATTATTTAAATCTTGAATATTTTAAACAGCTACAGCAACGCCCATGTTCAGAAATTCCATGGTTTTCCGAGCCATTCTGGGCATGTGGGACAACAGGCTTCAAGGGTGTAGTGAGGAGTCCATGACTAAGCTTACCTCTTTTGCCTTCTGTTTCAACCGTAATTGTTCTGGGTCTTCTTGTCTAGATCGAGACTATTTCAGAAATAAGTAGAAAAGGAAAATAAGTTATGACCCATCATGACCCACTGTATTTCACCTAACGAATGTTATCTTACTCATCTATATCCTATTAACTTTTTTTAACGTTTATAGCAAAAAGCTAAACTTTCGGCTGTGTATCATGGGGGAGTATTAAGAAAATCCATGTCATTCAGCTACACGAAGACATTAAGATACAATCTTCAACATAAGGCACCAGTAGTGCAGGCCTCGGGTCCAACGTGACATGACAAAGGTGCACCAGGACACAATCTCACAGGGCTCTAGGCTCAGGAACTGGTCCTCCTTGGGAGTGGAGCAAGGACTTGCATTTGGCCATCACTGAAGCCCACGACCCTCCTGCTTTATAGCAAGCTTCAGCACGGAACTTCGTTCTCCATCTGCCACTGACAATGAGACATGACACACTAGGCCCCAACTGCTCTAGAGCCAAGGGCAACGTGAACCTGGCACACAGAGAAGGACTCAACCTGCATGCACTCTGCACGGAGGTGGATAGATCTGGGCCGGTGAGGGTCAGGGATCCTGGGCTCCACATCTCAGGCATGTCCCCTCTGCAGTCAGAGCCTGTTGCGTGAGCAAGGCTTCTCTCTGCAGCTCCACTTACACCCACACCACCTTCCAGCCTGAAACAGTGCTTTGGCCTCTCTGCCTGCATGCGTGTGTCAAGGGGGGACAGAGTGCCTGAGACGAAGAGGCCCAGGGAGCAAGGTGGCACTTGCCTTTGCTGCCCGCATCAAGATTTCCCTCTCTTGTTCATCTTTCCTCTGCTTTTCGATCTGATCAAGCTGTTCAAAAAATTTGAGTTGAGCCCGAACATCACTGGCCTGCTCATATCTGTCGTCATCCTACGAGAAAGGCAGAGATACTGTCACAAACCTGGGAGCCGGGGAGCAAAGATCTGCTTAGCACAGCCGGGCGAGTTATGCACAGCTCCTGCTCCTCTCTGGCCCAGCCCCCCATGGGCGAGCAGACCTGGCCCCCTCCCATCTCACCGCACGACGGATTCCACGCACCCACCGTCAGCAACAGCACCTCACAGCCAGTGTCCACTGTATTACTTTGATACTGTCTGGTATTTTTTCAGGTAACATTTACATTTTTCCACAGTAACACAGAAGCACTTTTCAAGCACAGTGACTGAGCGCAGTTTTCCAAACCCTGCTCTGAAAGCACCACCAGAGCGAGCAGCGCCTGCTGGGCACAGTGCCTGTCCGCTTGGACGCCCAGAACAACAGGGGCAGCTCAGCCCGGAGAAGGGTCCAGTGCCAGGAGGAAGACTGGGGTGGAATAAGCACAGAAGACTCCACAATCTTAAAAGGTAAGCCAGCACAGTGGAGCACACCTGTAAGCCCTATACTCAGAAGCCTGGGCTACACTGGTGAGTGCAAGGCCAGCCTGAACTATCGAGAGTGACACGGTTTAAAGAAGATAAATAAGCCCACAACACCTAAAAGGCAGTAAGTAGCCAGGTGTGTGTATGGCGGGGGGACCATACGCCTGTAATCCCAGCACTCTGAGAGGCTGAGACAGAAGGATCACAAGTCTAAATCCAGTCTGAGCCACTTAGCAAGACCCTATCTCAAAATAAAAAATAAAAAGTGCTGAGGATGTAACTCAGTGTGAAAGGCCTGGTTTCAAACCCTAGTACTACAAAAAATAAAAAATGTTTAAAATAAATTAAAAATAAAAAGGATGACAGGTTTATCCTCAAGGTGAAAATCCTTCCAGAGTATCCCCCCAGGTACCCAGCCCTCCTCCCCTGATTTGGCGCTACAGAGCACCTGAACCCCACGTGGCTAACAGAACTAGCTCAAAAGTGCGCGTGGACATTTGGGACATCTCTGCCCTCTCTCAGCAGTGGGAAGGTGGCTTCCAGACAGCCCCTGAGCAGGAACTGACAACAGAAACACACTCTTCTCAGGAAAATGGCCCCATTACCTTATAAGAGAAGTTTTTTTGCTGAGCCGTTTCTGATATTTTTTCTACAAGATTCTGTAGCCTTTGCTGTGTGGCATGAGATACATAACTTACTACATCCGGATGTAATTCTGTTATGCCGTGCTTTTTACCTAGAGTAGGCAAAAAAAGAGTATTTTAAGACCACTCACTCGTCGCTTTCCTCACCACTTCACCATCTCCCCTCCTGCCCGCCTGTTAGTGTTCTCCACCCAGGGGCGCCCGGGCAGACTGGCGGGCAGAGGCAGCCCCTGCACCCACAGGGAACTGATCTCTGTGGAGGTCAGGCGGCTCAGACACAGCAAATCCTAGTGACAGCTGCTAGGTCCGCACTCACCTATTTCCAATATCCTTCTCTGTAAAGGCGCAGGGAGGAGGAAGGTGTCGTCTTTGCAGGACCGCGTCAGTGTGCCCACCAACTCAGAGTTCGTGGCCAGTATTCGTGCACTTTCTTCTGAAAGGTTTACTCCAGCCATCGACGCCACATCATTAATGTCATCGTCATCCCTGGAGAAAAGAGGAAAAGAATGGTGCAGGAACCCATGAGGACAGCACTGAGGTTCTGAGGTTCTGACTCGGGGATGACGAGAACAAGGCAGAGCAGCCCCTGGGGAAACGGCCCTGTTCTTGGGCCCCCAGCACTGGAGGCAAACTACAGTCTGAGGGGTAGCCTCGCTGCGGTGCAGAGTCATGGTGTGCAAGTGTCCGAAGGAGACTTGGACACTCAACCAGACCCTGCTACATGAACCACGGACACGGTGCATGCTGCTTTGATGACTTCGCACCATGTGAAATCATCTTTAAAAAAAATCACACCAAACAGTATTTTAAAAATAATCTCAAACTCAGAAGAGATAGAAGAGCAGCACAGAGACTTTCCCTGGTCATCTGAGAGTAAGCTGTGCCTCTGACACCTTGCCACCTGGACACTTTCTATGTTCCTCAGCAAGGGTGCCCCTGCAGAAAAGGCCCTGCACAGTGACCCGCAGCCACAAGCTCGTCCTCACACCTGCCCATGTGCGACCACTGTCCCAGGAGCGGCGTTCAACATGCTGCTCTCAGCTTAAGAGGTGAAAGAAAAGCACACCTAACACTGCCACCGGACATGGCCTGTCCTCCCGGAAAAGGGGCCCCTATAGAAAAGGCCCTGCACAGCAGTCCGTGCCACCAGCTTTCCTCAGACCGGCCCTTGTGCAGCCATGGTCCCAGAGCATCGCAGTGGGACAGTCCACGTCCAGATCGTGGGCCTCTTCTGTCTACCTCACAGGAACACAGCTCAGCTACTCCTTGACTCTGGCGCCCCTGATACCAGAACAGGGCAGCTGTCTATGCAACGCCCTTGCTCAGGCCTGACCGATGGGCTCCATCCAGACCAGCCATGCTGCCTCCCTGCCACACCCAGCAGGTGGGCCTGTCACCGAGGGGCACTCTGAGCACTAACCCGAGGAGGCCTGCCATTTCCCCAGCTAACTGGCATCTTAGGGAGATGATCTGATGTGCCTTCCACAGTCCTCATACCAGTTCTGTGTGTTACCGGATGGCTAGCTTTTACACAGACTTGTGGCTCCATCGTGTCAATGGCAACCCTCTGTGACCCTACCACCCCAGCCTGGACCACAGAAGGGAGATCAGCTGCCTCTCCCACTTCCTCTGAGCCCTGCTGACCTAACAAGATGGCCTCAGTGCATCCTGCCCTTTCCGTGTCCCAACCTTGGTGTCAGCTTTCGTGGAGAATGACTTTCAGAAGACTTGGCCTGAGAATGTGCCTAGGCTCTTCCATGGGCAAAGCAAGGGCCCACACCTGCACCTGAAGCTGCTACGTGTGCCTCCGTGAGTCCAACTCTAACCCAAGGCCACTGCCTCACTCCAGCTTACCCCCTCTGCACCCTCCTCAACAGAAGAGGCCACAGGGCCTGGGGCCTGGATATAAGCCCTCTACCGCCTTCTCACCCCGCTCGGGTGACAAGCCTTCTGCTGGACAGCACCTTATCCCGTCTGGTTCTGATCCTGCCCAGGGCCACTGCGGCTCCCCAAAACAGCCCTGCCTTTCCAGGTCACTTTAAGAATAAGTGTGTGGGAGGGGAAGGGCCACACCAAGTTTTCTTTTTTAGTTTTGTTTTGTTTTGTTTTTCTTCTGGTACCAGGAATTGAACTCACGACCTTGCGCTTTGCCACCGAGCTAAATCCCCAGCGCCCACACCAAGTTTTCTGAAATGTGCACACTGCCCGCTGCTCAGTCATGGTGAAGGGGACTCCACAGCCTCTCCAGTGCACGTCTCCACAGAACTCTGCCTGCTGGTGACACAGACTGGCTACTCAGCAGACAAGCAGGGTGGCGGCCCTTCCGGAGCTCAGGGTGAGCCAACAGCACACGAAGCACTGTGTTATGAACAGCAATGAACCTGGAGTTCTGTGCTGCGACATTCAGTTCGCACGGCGTCAGCTGAGCCACTTTCCCTTGTGCTGAGGGACGAAGCAAGCCTCCCCAGCTAACACCGGTGCTGGGAAACAGACACGCATGTAGATGTGCCGTCAGAATCAAGTAGGAGGAATAGCTGCAAGGCTGCCACTGCCAGGGACCCACAGCCTCAGTCCTTACCTAAATGAGCCTCCCCCAGGCTCCTTGAGCTTGTTTTTCTGTGCAGCAGCTGCTTGTGCAGATACAGTAGAAAGGGCTTTGGTTCCAGGTAACACGGTGGGCTTCACAACAGGGACTGCTGAGCAAAAGACAGTGGAGACCACGGAGGCTGTTACCACACGCACAACTTTACAGGCTCAAGGGGAAACCGGTCGCCTCCTAAGTAGTTACAGTAAGTTTTCAAAAGCCTTAAACCAGTATTGACAGCTGCATATTATAAATGATGTCACTAAGTACTTAAAATGGTTAACATGGTGAATTTTATTATACATATTGATTATATATATATATTTTAATTTTTTTGCCACAATAACAAAACAAAATATAACACCCCAACAGCTGGCTCTCAGAGCAACCTTCCGTGCGGAGCAGCCGTGGCCTGGGCCCTCACCTGGCTGCAGCTGGTTCAGCTGGATCTGCTGAGGTGTGGTGAGCATGATCCGGTTGTGAGGCTGCCGCAGTGCAACCATGGGCGTCTGCGTCAAGGTCACCTGCGGGGGCCGGATCAGGGCTCCTGGCTTCGGAGGCTGCTGGATCACCTGGGATGGAGCAGCAAAGCAAGTGAGCACACTTTTCACAGGCCACCACACCCACTACACAGCTCAGGCTCTTCCCTTCATCTGTCCCACCCTGTTCCCTACTTCAGGAAAAAGAGCCAGCAAGACCCAGGGCCACAGAGAAGCCCGTCCCATGCTCTCGGCTGCTGCTCCATGAGAGGCCTCTAGGGAGCCTGGAAAGGGTGAGATGGAGTGATGCCAGGCCAGCGCCACGGCACACAGAGCATGCCAGGCACATCCACTGCTTGGGAGCTACAGTGGGGGCTCCAGGCCAGTCCTGGGGGCAGATAGGAAGCAGAACGTTTGTGTAGCGCAGGCCGCCCCATACACATAGCACAGACCTCTCCCCACCTGTCAGCAGAGTGGCACTGTCCCCTGGTGACCCCAGGTCAAATTGTTTTCCCTCACCTAAGTTTTTTTGTAAGAACCAGGTGACTTTTGTACTGGAGTACGGGAGAATTTCCAGGTCTCACCCTGAACTTGGCCCCGCTGGCCCAACACGACCTGTTCTCCTCCATCATAAAGCCCTACTTGGGCCAGGCACTCGTGCAGCTGAGCCGCTGGACCCAGCCTGCCCTCACCAGGCACAAAGTAGACTCCAAGAGCAGGCAGCACGACTACTTCCTATGTTCTAGACCCTGCCCCTAGAAGCGGGGCCCAGAGACAAAGTGATCCCTGCAGAAAGCCACACGGCTCTCGTCTACATGGCCTTGCCACAGACCTCTGGGGCTGGGTCTCTGGAGCTTTGTTTCTCGCTCTAATGATACCAGGCTGGTGCACCCCACATCACAAGATACGCAAGAGGGCTGGGACAAGGCCAGCACAGAGCTATGTCTGCAGTGCAACGTGAGTGAGCAGGTACAGCAGACAGGCTGAGCCAGGCCGCTCCATATCCTCATCTGTAGCCCTCCGAGGGAAGGAGGGACCCCTCCACGGGCCTGTCAGTTGCGCACAGGCACAGCCAGAATCCAGGAAGTGGCATGCAGCAGTGAGCCTGCTGCTGAGCACAGCCTGTCTGCAGAAAGCTCCTGGCGCTGCTGATGGAATCAAGCACCAGAAGCTAGCACCTCCCAACAAAGAGCACGACCTGACCCAACAAGCTCCCTTTCAGCCGAACTTGCCTTCCGGGTTAAATAATCCCCACTGAGTTCCAAACGGGATACTTCTGTCCCTGCACCATGTAAAGCCAAGGGCCCAGTGACCACTACCCTTGCAGTGTCAGAAGGGACGGGGCAGCCCTAACTTCACACATGGACCTTCAACCCTGCCCCTGCCCACACCTCCCCTCTCCATCCCTTTAGCCTGCTCTCCTCACTAGCAGTGACGACAAAACAAATCCAAACTTTAACCAGGCACATGAGCAATCACTCTAGTGCACCCCAGGGTCACTGCCAGAGTACCATCCTAACGCACTGGAGCCCTGTAGAAATGAAAGTTTCACAGTTTCACTTTCAAACTGCTTTCTGGGAACCAAACCCCTCTGGTTGGTGTTTCCAACAGCAGCCTTCCCACACTGGGTGGCCTGCTCTGCCTCCAGCAGGGGTGTACTCAGAGCACAGTGCAGGCAGCAGGGAGGAGCACGGCCTTAAGACTGGGGAGCTGAAAGTCACCATCAACACAGATGCTGTCTGCCATTCCCACAGCTCCACAGCATCTCCCACCCGCACTGCGGCAGCCCTTCTGCCCCATCTCCTGCCGCAACACAGCCTGCAGCTCCTCCTGCTCATGGGATGTCCACTTCAGAGACTCACTAACGCACGGCACCGGTGCACAACATAGTCCCCAGACAACCCAGGGACAAGTCTGAGAGACGAAACACAAAATTGCAGAGCCTCAGACAGTAATATGTGTTTTAATTATTTAAGAGAATACCCAAGCTTCTTCCTAGCAGGAGCCTCCCTGCTGGCTCGGAAAAGGGCTCTCCGAGCCGTGGCCGGGTATTTAGAGGCTGGCGGGAGCGCCACTCAGCAGGCGGGCTGCGCGAGGGCAGGGAGGCCCACGCCTTTATCCCAGCACTGCAGGCAGTGCCTGCTTGCCAAGGCCAACCTGTGTGGGCTGCGTGAGGCTGATGACAGGGGGCTGGAGCGCACTGGTCACAGAGGCGGCCGTCTTCCCGGCCGTGCGCTGCACCGAGCTGCTGAGCACCACGGCTGTGAGTGTGGTGGTGGCCTGCGAGGCAGGCGGCTGCTGCTGCTGGCTCTGCTGGATGAAGGCCGCGGAGTCGGGAGTCAGCTGTCTCAAGGCGGGTAAGCTCCTCTGTGGGAAAGAGGACATCCGAAGTCAGAGGCAACGCGCACATCAGCTTTCTAAGACCAGACCGCCCCCCGGCTCCAGGGAACAGACTCTAGAGCCGTATTTGGCATCTGTGGACGTCGGTGCCAACACCCACCCATCCCCGAACCCTCCCTACTCTCACCAAACTGGATTACTCTTAATTAAGAACTGGCTAAAATTTGCTTCAAGCAAAAGAAAACTGTATCTTCTAAAGTCTTAAGAACACGATGCTGACAGCAAGGATCCTCTAAGAAAGGCGAGGTGACATTCTCAGAACCCCTAGTCTGACGGGGGGAGGGGTGGACTCATCCAGACAGAGGCCCCTCTCCACCCCCAGCATGCAGCAGAACTGTAAGGCCAGACAGGGCTCAACTTCATGGAAGAAAATTCTTTTAAACCCAACATCCGTTCCAGGGCACCACAGGCTTCCTGCCCAGCCGGGTGAAACAGGTACACACTGAGGCACCTGTGACGCCTCAACCCGGTCTCACTGCTGCTGTTTCAGGTGCCATGCACTTTCAATTACCTTCAGGAAAGGCACAAGGTAAGGTTGAGGTGAAGAATTAAGTTCTCGGTATAACCTGCTAGTGAAATCTTCTGCTTCAATTTTTCCATCCTTAAAAATAAAATCCACATTGACATTTGGCAATGAGCACAGTCTTAAGCATACACGTCTCAACTCAGCATCACTCTGGTCTAGCAGTTCTGAGGGAGGGGACGGAAGTCAGCACACCCCACACTGCAGCCGATTCAGATTTCCAGGTGCACAACGCCAGACACCGCCCTGGACACTGCTGTGCAGCAGCAGCTGGTCACGTGACTCATCTACACCTCCATGCTGTCACAAGCCTCTTCCTCAATGCCATCATCACCCACTGCTTCCAGGCTCCTACTTAATGCCGGGTGTTTCAGGAGAAGACACAGCAATCCAAGAGTAACTTCATGGTCAAGTCAGGGTTGTGAGTCTAGGGTACCACAGAGCTTAGCCAGGAAAGAGCACGCGGCAGACCCAGGGTGCAAGGTAATGGAGGGAAAAGCAAGGTCAGGTGGCCAAGAGCACATATGTGAGCAGAAGCCTGGGACCTGGGACTTGTGGTTAGAAGAGGAAGAAGCGCCCGGCAGTCCTCCCGAGTTCTGACTCGCCCAGGAGTCGGGTAGGGGCGTGGGGGTCATCACTGAGAAGGCTCCTGGGAGAGGAGGAGGAGGAAGGGGGACGAGGAGGATGGGGAGAAGGGGAGGAGGATGTTGGCTCTACCGCTGGAGCACAGATGCACTGCGGCCAGTCTGCACCATGAGAAGGGGCCACCCTCGTGGGGCCTGAGGCACATGGGCCCAGCCAGACTGCTTACACCCGGGGGCATCACAAGAGGCAGACAAGCCTCTCCTGATGTCCACTCTTACTCAAGGGTACCCACTGCTGCAGCCAAGCCCAATCTAAGCGATGCTGAGGTCAGGTGTGGCTGGCAGCAGCCAGGGCTGCAAACAAGTCACGTAAGAAAGGGCTGGGGGTCTGCCAGGTCCCTGAGAAGAGCACAGCACTTTGGGGATGGCTGCTGGACTCGGCTGAAGAGCGATTGCAGCAGGTGGACAGGAAATAAGCCGGACAAGGAGTGTTTCTATCAGGAGAGGCTGGCAGCATAAAAGAGCATGAAGCTGTCAAGGCACGGACCCTACACACAGCAGCCAGGCGAGCCCCCAACACACTCTTTCCACACTCAGGAAGAGGGAGGCCTCGGCAGGGCTGGGCAGGGCACAGGTGTGCACACCTCTCCCTCTCCCTACAACCACCTATGACGTCCTCCCTGCCGACACACACACACAGCTACAGGTGCTCATCACAGACAGAATGCTTAGAGGAGACAGGGATTTCATGCAAACTCCTCTTACCAGTAAATTCTGTACTAGTTCTTTCACATTAGCTGCTGTTTCTGTAGACTGTTTACCAGATGAAGCCAGTTTTATTAATGTAGACAGAAAATTTTTACATTTCTTCACATTTTCCATAGTTTCCTGGATTGAAAGAAACGGGTAAAAAAGTCACAAAAGATTTTCATCACAGCCTCTGGTTAAACTAAAATATTTACAGGTAAGACCATGCCTATGATACAAGCAGTCTGGCTGCTAAGGGAGAAGAATTCCAAGCTCAAGACCAGCCCAACAACTTGTGAGACTCTGTCTCAAAATAAAAATAAGTAAATAAAAAGGATTGGCGGTGCAGCTCAGTGCAAGCAAAGGTCCTGGGTTCAATTCCAAGTATCACAAGGAAAGTGACATGTAAATTTCGCCCTAAACTTCTTTCAAGAAACACCTCATACTGATGGGTGCAGCCTGGTCACCTCCAACGCCAAGTCTGTATGTCACTCAACCCCGTAACGCTACTCCTAGGAAGGCAGCTAGGTAAACAACCACAAGTGTAAAAAGATGAACCTATAAGCATATTCATCTTAATGTGGCTTATTATGAAGACAGATCTAAATCCACATAAAGGAAACTAAATTATGATCCAGCAACTACAAACACATGGAAAAATCCTAGCAAAGAAATATGAAAAAGTTACAAAGTAAGACTGCAGTTTGCCTGAAGATGTATACACCCATAGGAAAGCCCCTGGAAGCACAGATATAAACAAAGCGTAGGGGTTCTACCAACACCATGCAGCTCAAGCACAACCTCCTCAAATGTCATCACCGAGGCTCTGGCCATTTGTGAATGCCTGTGTGGTCTAAAACCTCAAGCAGAAATATCTGGCTTCCCTGCCACTCCTGGGAGTCCTTGCCCTCAGACCCCACCTTAGGAGGCGCTGGGGAGAAAGGGTGCAGTAAAGCCCTGAGCTCTACCGCATCTCAGGCTGCAGCTCGCCTCTGCACCAGGCAGCTCTGGAAAGGAACAGGACTCGTGGGCTGTGAACTATTCACAAGTCCCTCTGCATAAGAGACTGGTACAGAAAACAACCAGAACTGTCTCACAGTGAGCAATGGGCCCTGCTGTCCCTGGAGGTCCCGAGAGGAAAAGCGGCTCTTACCGTGGCGGCTGTGGTGGTGGTGTTTGCCCCTGGGACTGTTCGCTGAGGCGTCCCGGTCTGAACAGCTGTTGCCGTCCCGAGTGAGGCTGTCTGGGCAGAGCCGCCCAGGACAAGCTGAGGCTGCAACAGTGCAAAACACCCGGTGAACGCATCTCATGCCGCCAACCTGAGACACTGGCCTCAAGTCCGGTGAAAGCTTCCTGGAGAGGAAGGGACACCCACAGCCTCGGGACTCCAGGGTCTCCAGTTCTGCCAGCTGGGCAGGGACTAGTAGGATTACACCATGGAGCCACTCAAGGTGCCCTAAGGCCCTCACGACAGACCCAACCTTTGAGGACACTGGACTGAGTGCCTGAGGAGTTGCATTTTGTCCCCTATTAAAACCTGTTGGAATGAAGCAAATCACTACAAAGAACCTGGGCTCCTGAAGCCAACAGTGCCAGATGCATGGTGACAGGTATGAATTACCTTAGCCAACCAGCTGCCATCCCTCAGAAACTCAAACACAAGAGAAAGCCACCCCTGAAGCCCTGTCACTGTCCACACACTCCTTCCTGCAGGGCCATACAAGATGAAGGCGGCAGTCGGGGGATGACCCCAGCTCCCTGCACACTACTACACCAACGTCCTATGCTCTCCAAACGCCTCGGGAAGAGGGCATACAGGAAATCACTGCTGGGTCATCAGTGCCCGTCAGCCTGTGAGTGGGGAGGTGCTGCTTGCCCAAATACAGGGACACCCAGCAAAGCAGCACCCAGACTTCTGAGCAATTCAGACCACTGGGCCTCAGTCAATTCTTGACACTGCCATTTTACAAAAATAATCATGATGCAAATATCTGCTAACATTTAAAAACAGTGCTTTTCAATGTATAAATCTAGCTGTCAACAATTTCTTCCTCCGATTTTTTAAGCACAGCCTTTTTCTGACTTCTGAAGGTAGGGGGCAGTGTGACCCTGGAGAACAACTCCTGAGCTGCCCGCGGCCGAGTCTTCACTCCTGCCATCAGATCACAGCTGCCAAGCCCAGCAGCTGCTTGGGAACTGACCCACTTCCAGGATCCCCCGGTCCCCCAACGCTGCCCTGCAGCTGCGTGAGGAGGTGGCAAGCTTTGCTCTGTAAGTCTGTGCCGTCTTCCCCGTGCCACAACAAGCAGATATTCCTTGTCACTGGAAGCTGCCAAGCCAAGTCAAAAACTTCAAATGAAGAAAATGCCCAAGAAAACCAAGCCTCGCCTGCGGGGTGGGCGGAGGAGGGCAAGTCCAGGACTCTCCACCTTTCAGTCTCTTTGACCTCAAAAGTCACTCCACAGCCCCTAGGAGTGCACATTTACCTAAATGGCACGAAGATAACGTCTTCCTAGTCTGATAAACTCATCTTCACTAAATGTGACACAAGAACCCACCAGGAGCTCCACTACCTGCTCACAAAATCACCGAATGCGCAAAGCAGGTGCACCAGGGACTCAGGGCTAAGAGTTCCTCTCTGAAGCCTCTTGCTCCCAGTGTGCACAGGCCTGCTCACTGGCTCGCAGCATCCAGGGACAGAACTGCTCTTCTACCTGACTTCATCCCCTGCAGCCACCAAAGGCAAACAGAGCCAAGCTCCAAGGAGAGAAAAGAGCCCAGGGGTGCTGCGCCACCCTGGAGCTCCAACGCACCACTCAGCCTCAGGACCCCATCTGGCAAGGGAGCTGCACCCAGCCAGCGGCACTATGGTGCAATCCCAGGCAATGGGCACCACACCCAGGCTCGGCCCAGTGGGTGCCTCATCAACAGGAGCCCTGCAACCGTCTGGACACTCAGCATGCAAGACCAGGAAATGCCTCTGACCCACTTTGCTTCACCTATTCCTGCCTGACTGGCCCAGACAGGGCTGTTTTCCCTCGCCAGGTGTCTCTGCCCTAAGCAGAGCTGTGTCAAACATTTCCAGAACTGTGCCATCGCTGCTGGGGAAGGATGCAGGCTGTGGGGAGGCAGCAGCCTGGCAGCCAGTGTGAGGCTGGGAGACCAGGAACAAACCCCACAGTCTCCCTCAGTTCGGCACAGGATGAGGGGAGCACTGGCGTCTCCTTCACAAAGGCATCAAGAGAACTAAACACGCTATGCACAGAGCAGCAGGAACGCCGTCCAGGTGCCACAGTGTCAACACACACCATTCCCACCCACCTTTCTTACTTCTCTGCCTTATGTCAAATATCACTGTGGCATGGCAGTATTTTCAATCGTAACTCTGGAATCAGAGAACGCTTTTAAAATGGTGATGGCATTAAACTCTATGTGACATTAAACAAAAAGAACTCTGAACCATCCTGTATCAGTAGTACGAGACTCTACTCCCTTTATGGAGAGCCTTCCTTCTCAAACTCACTCTGTATCCAATATTGATAACTCATAAAACCTGGTCTTCACATCAAAGTGGCATTCTGCCTGCCCCAACGCCTCTTACCTGCACCCCTGGGGAGCGCTGCAGGGCTGTAGTGGGTTGTACCGTCGTCTGGGCCTGAGACACTTGCTTAATTATGGTAGTTGGGGTCACCTGCCGTGCAATAATAGGTGTGCCAGGAGCCTGAAAAGTTAAGATTGATCTGAAACAAGCTACAAATAAAAGTAATTCCCACCCACTGCATATAAAGGCTGTCCTTAGGTACACACTAGTACCCTCAAGTGGGGCCACAGAGCTTTCGGGAAAGCCACCATAGGCTCTCTCTCCAAGGCCCAAGTGTATAATCAAAATCTTTTCATAGACTCTCCTAAAAACATCATTAAACTTCCTTAGCAGTCTACAAAATAGGTCTTTAAGGAAAGTGAAGCCCTGGATCAGGTGGGGAGCTCTGAAGGGGCGTCAGAGGCTGCCTGGGATGCAGAGACATCTCAAGTCCTAGGCCAGCAGGTTGTGTGAGAAGACGGACAGCACAGATGCTACAGTCAGACAGTGGCACTAGACCATGGCAGAAGCGAAACCACAGCGCTGTCCCGCACTTCTCACTCAGGGGACGCAATTCTCCAGGCCTAGAAGGTGCCACTCTGTTGCTTCAGATATGGGGTCGGGCTGGGTCTCGTCCACCTCAAGCATGTAAACATCCTCATCTACAGGACAGAAGCACAACTCCCAAGGAGGCAGGGCCTGAGCTGCAGGAGACAGAAGTTGTCGGGGTCCTTCTTGCCCTCAGGCCTCCACCAGCTCGAAACAGCAGTCACAGCACAGGTAGAAACATGCCTGCACAGTGCATAGCTCGTCTGCCAACACATGCCCCACGGAAACCACGGTGCAGGACACATGCTAGAGGAGAACTCGGTGCTCGACTTCTCCGCTCAGAGTACATTTTCTCCCACAAGCCTGGCACTGGGATCTGTAGCCCCAGCTTGAAGCTGGGGGAGCAGGGCCACCCTGTGGCATGCCTGTGCTGCCCGCGGCTTCACTCTCCTCTTCATGCTTTCAGTGCAGCTCAGTCTTTATGACAGTCCCAAGAGCTAATTACTTTTGTCATCTCTACTTTGCAGGGGAGGAAACTGAGACACAGGAAGTGAAGTCATAAGAAGCCAGGGAAAGGACCAGAGTGGCAGCGAGGCCAGGTGGGTCCAGGTGTCCACTCAAACGCCACTCAGCCCATTGTGCTAAGCACTGACTGCAAAATCTGGCTCCTCCAAGTAGGCAGTTTTGTGCCAAGAGGAGGACAGGAGATCAGTGCCATTCCAGTCCCGTCTGACAGTGGGATGCACCCTGGCCTTGAAGCCTCCGAGTGTGTATGGTGTTAGGAGCGGACAAGGGCAAGCCCAGCCCAGGAAGGCCACACGTCACACAAGACACGCACTCACCTGCACGGTGGAGATCTGCACAGGAGGGGCACTTGTGGGGGTTGCCGGGCGGGGCGCCATGGTGCTCTGAGGCTGGGCCTGGGCGTGAGCCTGAGCCTGCATCTGGGCCAGGGCCTGCTGAGGGATCATTAACAACTGCCCATTCTCACTCCGCACAAGGACCATTCCTGGGGGACAAAGCAAACCTGACATCAGGACATGCTTCCCACAGTACAGTGAAGGCCCCCACCCAGGAGGAACACAGGAGAGAAAAGTCGGGCCGGGGATGTAGTTCAGCGGCTCAGCGGCGCAGCACCTGCCTGGCAAGTGCAAGATCCCGAGCTCAATACCTGGTACCCACCCCCCAAAAAAAGTTGCAAAGCTCGAGCTCTCCAGTGAAGAGGGACTACAGGAGGAAAACTCTTAAGAGGCTGTTAACAGATCCTAGAATTCAAACAGCAGAGCCTTCCCTTTTATAAACAGGCAGCAAAGGAAAGCAATGTAATGACAGTGTCTACCTGCCACACTCTGCCTCAAGGGCCACCTGCTCGACAGACACAAAAACCTGCACAAGAGCAAGTGGCCCCGCGGCCGCTGTAAACTCTACCACTGGGGCTGCTGCTCTACTGTCCTGAGCCGGCCAAGGACATGGCGAAGTGGGCACCTGTCAGCGGGGGCCTGGCCTGGGCCACAGAGGACAGGGCACCTACCGGTGCCTCTACTGCCACGGGCCATCTCCGAGGCACTAAGGTGCACTTGTGCGTGCCAGGGCCCTGCCTCTGCTCACTGTCGGTGGGCTGCTGTGCACACGGAGCACACACAAGTTCTCCCAAACGGAAACACACTTATCTGACTTTAAAATGTAACTCTGCACAACACATCAGTGCTGAGATGCACAAGGACTACAGGCACCCTCACTGACAGCCCAGCCTGTGACACAGCCCCGCTAAAAGTAAAGCAGACACGAAAGGAAGATCACTAGCCTTGCACTGGACAGGCCTCAGAGCTGCCAGGGCCATGGCAGCCTTGTGTCTCTGTCTCCGCCTCTGTCTCGCTCTCCCTTCCCCCTCCCCTCCTTCTCTCTCTCAGGATGAGATGGAATCGGCCACCAACCTACAGGAGAAGGCCAGACCCTCCTGCAGGTCTTGAGGCCATGCAAACCCTGGGCTTTCCCTCCAGGGAAACTAGAGCGGGGGCAACTATGGGAGTTCTGAAAGAGTCTGTGACACTGACGGGTTCTTTCAGAACCCATCACACAACCAAGAAATAACAGTGAGGCCTCTCCCAGAGCTCACCTCTAACTCTTGATATAAAAAGCCACATTTAGGCCCAATAATAATCTCCCCATACGTCCCTATCAAAGTAAGCCATGCTGAGATCAAACAAACAAACCTAAACCCAGCTGCTGAGATAACTTGCTCTACTGTAGTCGCCAAAACCTAAGGCTTGAGAATGAGTTGAAAAGAAAAGGTCGTGATGGCCCCATCAGTGAGAGCTCATCTCTGCTACATCAGTGTCTGCGTTCAGGAAGCCCAGGTCAGCCAGTCCCAGCCTGCCGCAAGGCTGTCAGAGCGGGGCAGGGCCGCTCCCCCTGGCAGCACAGGCTGCGCCCCAGGAAAGGGACCTTGGCGAACACTTCTTGACATCATCTTTCCAAGCCCCTTTCCTCCATTGCCTTCCTTCTGAGGCCACTCACTCACACAGGAGCTCCCAAGACCATGGCACACAGTGGGCAAGGCAAGAAGACAACGAGGGCCGCCATGGCGCCCACCCCCCCCAAACCCCAGCGTGGAATTTGCTAAGCAGGCAGTTAATGAAATCAGAAGCTTTTTTCTTAAAAAATTACTTCCACAAGGGGCTGGGGATTTAGCTCAGCGGCAAAGCGCCTGCCTGCCAAGTGCAAGGTCGTGAGTTCAGTTCCCGGTACCGGAGAAAAAGCAAAAAAAAAAAAAAAGAATTACTTCCACAGAAATTTAGAGGAATGGCTTAAAATTATTTTTGAACTGGCAACACATTTAAAAGTCACAGTAAAAGCTGCACTTTTGAGCCAGGAGTGATGGTACCTGCCTGTAATCCCAGCACTCTGGGGGCTGACAGAGGAGGACTGCCTCAAGTTGGAGGCAAGCCTGGGCTACATAGTGAGTTCAAGGCCTTGCTGAACTGAACAGCAAGACCCTGACTCAAAAAATAACGTGGCATTTTGGACATGACGAGAGCATAAGGTAACAGGCCGTCAGCTGGAAGTGGAGTACAGATGGGGCCGCACAGCCTCGGCTCAGGCAGAGGCAGAGCTCCTGCGAAGAGCACTGGTGGGGCTAGCGTGCTGCGACCCGGGCTAACGCCGTGGTCAGGGACACCGCGTCTAGGACAGGACGGATGCCTCTATGGTGAGGGCCAGCACGCTATGGTCAGGTGGACAGCCTGTTCAGGCCCGTGTGCTTATGCTCAGGGCAGGGGCCAGTGCCTCTGGATTCGGCAAAAGTTGGAGAAGGACTCGCAAGTCCTGCCAGGAAGTGACGGTGTGACTTTAGCAAGTACCTTAAGTCTCAGGCATTAAAAAGATTTTACCTGGATGTGAAACGGGTAAGTGAGGAAAAACAGATGAAAGTGGATGTAAAGGCAACATGCACCCTTTTAAAACCACAGGCCAAAGGGCCGTGGAGGACACCCTAAGGAAAGAGTCTGGCCACACCACCCCTTGAGCAGAACCGAGGTTTGCTGTGAGGAGCTGTCTGCTTTCCCTGTTCATGGTGCCTCAGCACCGCCGGCTGCAAGGGGAAAGGAGGAGACACACGTGGGAGCCGAGCACGTGTGCGCCAACGCCACACCAAGAGCCCACCTCAGAACACGACCAGCTCTGGATCTGTGCACTCGAGTTCTAATCACTAGTTTCAAACAGATAAACATTTGCTTTCAAAATGTAACAGACTAGTTTAAAATAAAGGACCGGGAGAAAGTAACCTGCCACAGTAAAGGGCAGCACGTGGCCTGCCAAGAGCATCTGTCCACCCCTGCCACCACCACTGACCACCTCTCCGTGTCTGTACAGTGGGATTCGAACTCCTCAGAAAGGACCTGCACCAGGCACAACCGGCCGGTGTGGTCCACACCCCACCTCACAGGACACCAAGGCCCGTGGGTGAGGAGATTCAGCCAGAGTCCCTGAAGAGAGGCGGCAGCAGGCAGCCAGGTCCCAAAGGCCCTTCTACCCACAGCACTGGAGAAGAGAAACCTCCAATGACACCTGGCACCACAGCCTCTGTTCAACCAGCCCTAAGCCGGGCAGGAAGGGTCAGCTAAACCGGCACACTCACATGCCTTTGCAAGACCCTTCAGAGGGCCAATTCCAGGACACACAGGGAAGTGGGGGGGACATGTGCCCTGCAGGGGACGGACAGTGCGACCACTGCACTCTCGGTCCCTCCATCCCTCCAGGAATCATGACTCATCCAAGAACCCAGAAACAAACTGAGGTCTCCTTTTCAGTAAGTTTAATGTTTTTCTTGGTATAGGATTAAAGCGTTCTTCACAGAAACTCAAGAAATGCAAACAAGGACACGGAAAACAGAAAGCTCCTTGACTTTGGTCACCGTGACTGGGCGCTGGCTCCCGCACCCACCCTGTGCACGTGCAATAAAGAAAACTGAGGTCACTGCTCTAAACAGTCTAAAGCCCTCTGCTGGCGGCTTTAAAGGCCAGTGTCTGAAAGCTGGGAGTGTGGAGTGTGCAGCAGGGAGGCAGCAGCCACCCCAGGACAACCCGCTACCTATCAGAATCTCTTGTCCCCAGCCCACGAGGGTCCCTCCCCGCAGCTCAGTCCTTAAAGAAGAAATAAACCTAACTTTCCTGAAGTGCCAGAGCTCAAGAAAAACTCTTGGTTCCGACCCAACCTTACCACTTTCCTGAAGCCTTTCACTGCTTGCACCTTTTACTGCATTCTAAACCAAAATGTAGATGATCTGAAGCTGGACCACCAGCCATATAGCACTTCCCATCCGGGAACCTCCACGGGAAAGAGCCTTTCACCGAGCACCTGCGCACAAACCCGGCACAGAAGGCTCCTCCTCGGCCTCCCCTGACAACTTTCTTGGGCAGCTCACCACCTGCAGCATCTCAAAGACAGACACTCCCTGCCCACCAGCCCAGACTGGAGGTCAACCAGCCCAGGGGAGAAAGACCCTCGGGCTGTGACAGTGACCGGCAGAACAGCAGCCCTAACAAGGACTGGACTCCGCTCTCTCCTCGCCTCTGTAGGAGATGCTGTCCCCGTCAATAAAAATGTCACTCGAACTGCACTAAGAGTCTGCAGAGACAGGGCACGAAGACAAACCCACTGCAATCAAGTCTGGGCTACTGACCACATCCCCCAGGCCCCCTGTCTGACACCATGGCTGGGCGAGCATGGAGGGCATGTCTGAAACACTGCTAGAAGCGCCAGTGGACAGACGGGGACTGCTGACCCGGGCCACCCTGCTGCCACACTCCAGCCAGACTACAACCGGGCCGTGGAGGCAGCACAGCCACGTGGACTCGGCTTAGCTGACACAGACAGTCGGAGCCGACTCGGTCACGTCCTGTGTGTTCCTTCACGCTGGTGGTTTCTGAATTAACTTCTTCCATTTAGGTTATGAAAAAGAAAACGCCTAGCCTGGAAGGGTATAGCAGAAGAACAGAGCTGTAGGAGGTGGACACGCAGCGCACAGGCCCCTTTCTCACTGGCAGTCCCAAGCACGCAGGGCACAGCATGTGGAAGCAGCACCAAGTGTGGCCATGACTCAGCCAGTGGCCCACACCTGGCAGTCTCCGGTCCCAGGGTCCCACTCCTTCAAGGGCAGCTAAATCGGTGTCATAACCTGTCACGCTCTGGATATATTCTGCCTACTCTCACCCACGACACTGGGCACCCACACATACACTGTGCCACTTGGCCCAGGAGAGGTGGCAACCTTGCCCCGTTCCTGCGTGTCATGCTGTCCCTCCAACTCCCACTCAGCTCTGGCTTGCAGCTCCCTAATTTTTTCTCCTCAGTTATAATCTACACTGACACTGTTACTTGTTACCCAGGTTTCATTTTTCTTTAAATTCATTTTATTGGTATACTTTTGACATGCACAATGATCATAGGGAATTGTACATGTGTACAAAGTATCTCCCTTTTTTTGAAGACAGGGCCTCGTTGTGTAGTGCA